ACTAACGTTGCAGACAAGGGACAAACCTAGTTGGTCTCTATGGTATGTGACAATGCCCTAGAGCATATATAAGAAAGCTTAAGTACTTTGTGGATCTTGTACGGAGGTATAGCTCTTAAGTTTTGTATGTTCCACGAGCAAGGAGTGTGCGGCTAGCAGGGGGGTATCTAACACGAATTAGGAGATTTCAGCACGGATTAGGAAACTATCACTTTAAATTGCCCATTTCGCCGCCTATACCCACGCTAGCACAGTACCCCTTGCTTGTGCTTGTAGAACACACAAAACTGATGAGCTGTACCTCCGTAGAGGGTAACACCAGTAACAATGGGTTCTTGTTGTAAGGTGGTGTAAGGTCGAGGCAGTGGTCGATGGTAAGTCATGGCGTTCGCGAGAGGGAAAATGGGAGAAGTGGAAAGGGACTAAACGGTAACTGCGGAGGAGGTGGGAGTAAAAACGCATAGCTATCATAGGTTGACTGATAACATGCTTTATTCCTTGGATAGAATAAGGTACATTGAACACCGACTAGACCTCCACGAACACAGCCCTGGGGGGATAAATCTCACTTTGGCAGGAGAGCGCGCAAAGTGGGGAATTCGGCTACTCACCAATAACTACAGATAGTAGTACCTCGCTACCCCTGACAACCGATATTGAAGGAAACTTACCCGGCACCCCAGGTCATCAGATTAGATGGCTTATCCGATGATCAGATCACACTTTCGAGATAAGTGTTCAGCGCCACATAGATATTTTCGAGGGCATGGCAAAGTTACCGTATCAGTATCATAGCTGGGTATGAACAGGGGAACCATTTAGCCTACTAAAACTAGTAATTCAGTTGCCTTAGCAGCCCCTATGCCTCCACTGATGAACCCGCTGGCCACACCACCCGACCATACAACTAGCGACTTCTACGAAGCTCAAATACAACGAGTAACCAGAGCTAGGGGAATATTTTACCAGCGGCCACAATTTGTTGAAAAGCAACCACGAGACGAACTAGGTAACTTATAATATCCCTCATGAATGGTACTATGGGTGCCGCAAAAACTCTCTCGCATCTCTACGGAAAGTGGCTCAGCTCTTGACAACTCCCCAGAACCTAGTAGAAGAACGTGTGGTATTGGCGTCACTATTCTCCGCCCCAGCTGCCTGTGTTTTGGGCCCATCTTGCACCGTAGTCGCAACTACTGGTACCAGGAGTAGAGTGGGTAAGAGTGGAGCGCAAGGGTGGCATTGATGTCCAGGGTTAGAAAAAAAACATTTCACCAGAGCTCGAACTGGTGACCCCCAGCGTGTTAGACAGGTGCATAACCAACTACACCGCGAAACCAAATTAGTATATTTGGCTCATGTTGTCACTTAGGCCGACCCAATTCACGCCCGCTTCAAGCCATAAAGAAAAAAGGTGTGGTTGCGTCGTTGGTGATTATCTACGGTACACTCGGTCCCGACTTCCACCCAAGCGATAAATTCTCCCTAACAACACCAGTCAACCCCCCCCATCAAGACTAGTAAAGCACTCTTACTGAAGCCCCCGATTCTCTAGGTCCGCTGGGCACGCGATATCCGCCATATCGATCTCGGCGAGGGTGACATCATTTGTGAAAGCTTCCTTCAAAGGTAAGGCCCGCCAGCATCTTGGAAGAGATTTTTCTTTGGGTTTGGGGAGTTTTGGTGAACGCAAAAGTGGGTCTCTCGACCGATTTGAGCGCATCGCGAAGGCCGAGCTATACCCTGCCCCGCTATCTAAGTTTACTCACCAACCTCACCAACTCACTCACGAAAACTCGAGGTATGCGAACCTTGGTGATGGCCAGCACAACCGTGTGATTGCTACAGTTCTGACTTCTAAAACTGTTACAGTGGGCACAGCGGGTTGTATTTGGGTTGGGTACAACATGAGATAGCCAGGCATTGCCAGGGAATACAGAGCTGGGTAAAAAAAGAGTAGATTATCTTCGAAATTTACCAAGGTCTCAGGATCTTGCCAATTAAATTACTTACTCTACCCTCCCCTAACGAAATTTGTCCAAAGCTATCCACCAATCAGTCCCGGGATAGTGGATCCTTCTCGTCTCCTCCTTGCTAACCTCACATTGTATACTGCGCTGGTGAAAGGTTCAAGTTGCTCCCGCGGAATTTGCGGGAAAACTAGCTTATAGCCTAGGGGCAAGGCACAGCTAATCCGAAGCAGTTGGTAAAGCTTAATGCCCAAGAGAGGTGGAGGAGATTTCTCGATCCTCGTGTTGGCGTAACAGGGTGGATTGGCTATTCCTTGGGGAAAAAAACGGTCTACACCAGGGCACACCTGTGGTATGATATTGCCCTTCACCGCGTGATCGACTGTGATTTCTGTTTTTATCGGGTCCGTAGCTACCTTTCAACCATGTCTTGTTTTAAACTCTAGATCCTCATCCGCTTTCTTAATCCTAGGCGCTATTTCCTCTCGATTTGGTGCTGATACTACTAGTCAGACTAGCTACATATATTTCACCCATTGCAAAGATATCTCTAATAATCCGGACCAGCATGCCTTGAAACTAACATCGCATTCAGAGTCCGATACACCGGACTCAACACCGCCCCTCTTGAGTGTGTGGAGGGAACGGAAACCCTATGACTACCCGGGACAACCCGGATCAATTCCCGCTGCGAAACCCCCGGGAAAGAAACACCGCCCCCGCGGCCCCGGGCAAAAACAAACATCACATCTGTTCTCGACAAACCAGATAGGAAGTTTGGAAATTTACGAAGAAGGAGGTCGTCGTCACTTGTTTGTGAGAAATCTGAGGGATGTATTGGATGGGTATGGTCACCGGTCAGAGAGGGCAGCTGGACGTTATAAATTATTCCCTTGGAGCGTCCGGAAGCGGTCCATCCTGGATACCGAAAATGGTCATAATATGGAAATTTGGGGGGTTGCTTTCTCCCTCCTGTGGGCGGGATGAAGGCAGTACATGGAACTATCACGCTAATTCGACTGGCACAGTTCTACACTGGAGAATTGTCTGTGGGTTCTGGCCGTTTCGGTCGGTTGTGGGTGTTGACGGCACGGGAACGCCATTATTGTAAACTGCGGTTCCGACTCCGTTGATATTTGGTGAACAATTCCTGACCCATTAAGGCCCCACACTGGTCCACTGTGTGTAGATGTCAATACACGATACTAATCCATACAAGCATATGGATCATATAACGTACAGATACTTGGCGTCATCAGTCTTCGCGTCCAAGAACTTTCCCGCCATCTAGAAAAAGATATTCGGAGTCAAAAACCTATCACTTCCAACCTGGTGCTGCGGTCCGACCGGGGGCAACGCCTATCTCTTCCACAATGTCTTGCAACCAACCTTTCAGAGTGGGGCAACTCTTCATAAGAAAGTTGATGTCTTAAAGCGCCGGGAAGTACTTGCATAGCTTTCGAAACTCACTCTCCTCCATAGGGAGAGGGAGACAACTCCCAATCCTAACACGGTAGCGAAAATTGCAACCGGAATGGAAAGAAATCCACTTGACGTCGTCGTATATGACGAACCCAGAGCTAATGAGGAGATTGCCAAATTGATACACGTCGATTCGAGCGCCCCCGGACCTACCCCATCGGGAGTTCTACCCCCAAAAAGCTCATCTATCGTTATCCATGGATCAGGTTTAGGCTGGTAAGGAGGAGGAAAGATTAGCTACAAGATGAGGGGATTAGTTAGTGGGATGCGGGAGGGATAGAGGAAGGTACGATAGGGAAGAAAGGAGCATATATATAAAGACATTGCCTGTACACAATCAGCCACATATCGGAAGGTCAGGGTGGCCTTCATTCGGTTGTGTACACGGGATCTAGACAATTTGAACAAGATAACCATCGTGGCGGCCCCCGCTGTCCCTTCCTGCCACAATTGGAGGTCACATAGTAATTGTGCCTGTGATTCGTCCACCCAGACTCAAGGACAACCGTTTGAAATGCCCACCTTATCCCATTAATACCGGAGCTGTAGGCGAGTTCTGGTATTGTTGACGAGCCTGAAAATGTTTCAAGAGAGTAACCATGAGCTATACAATTATCAGTAGAGGCTAGAGATCTTCGTAGGGTAAATGGACATACTAATGATGGCATCTGTTATTGCTCCAACGGCCAACCTTTGAAGAATTTCCCTTCTAAAAGAAACGTCCCTTCTTTCCACCAACTCTGCTCTACCAACATATACCAAGAGACATACCGCTGGCACCGGAGGACCAGATCATCCTACTTAAACATCACCCCACGGCTTTTTCTCTGTTTGGACCCTTAGTCAAGAAAACAAGAAACCATGCCGAAATAGAAACCTTCATCGACAAAAGTGCTATACCGGGATGTAGCCAGCCTGCACTTCCTGGCGGAGGACGTGTGTGCTGTACTAGTAATTTGCCCACAGTTGTCGCAAGTGGACGAGATTGTCCGGGGCGTGAATGATGTCGGGAGGGTATTGGATGAGGTGCTGAGGGGACTTTTGGATGAGGATGGGAATGGGAAGGAGGGTGTTGGGAGGGAGGTTGTCGCGAGGTGTGGGACAAGTTTGGATGCGGTTGTTGTGGATCTTTTTCTTAGGGAGGAGGGGGGTTGTTAGGGGGGTTGAGGGGAGAGGGTGTAGTAGAGGAAGGGGTTGCGGGTCAGTGGGAATGAGTGTAGGACTTGGTGCTTGGTTTCAGGTTGTTAATATATTATTGAGTGGGGCAGGCTGGTATCATAGCCAACTACAGTCTTGAGACGTTTGTAGTCTATCATTAGCCAAATGAACACTTGAGACAATTACAAAGCTTATGTCTCTTACTGACGCCCATCTCAGCATCCTTTTTCTCTCCCTCTCCTAAGCTTATAATACCAAATTCAACTCTACCTACGCTACCGCACAAACGAGCAAGATGCTACCCAACCATGCAATAGATAATCTATCTCTACTGTACCGCAATATCACGAAGTGTCAAAAAGCTCAAGAGTGGGATTAAAAATAATAATTCAAATAATATAGTACAAGACAAATAATATAATACAAGACAAATAGTATAATACAAGACCTAGTTGCCAGTGACAGCAGGGACAAATCCCTGCTGTCGCATCTCTGCCTCCACCCGAACCCGAAGTCGTTCCAGACTTAACGGTAACTGCACTCCCGGGTTCAGACCACCGGGAGCCATCCCCCCAAACAGCTCATCAACCGTTATCCAGGGGTCTGGATAGGGCTGGCTCGGCGAAGGAAAGATCGACTACAAGATGAGAGGGTTGGTTAGTAGGATGCAAGGAAGATAGAGGAAGGTACGACAGGGAAGGGGAGAGAATACGTATAAAGACATCACCGGTGCACCACCAGCCACATATCGGGAGAAGAGCAGGGTGGCCTTAACTCGGTTTTGTTCACGGGATCTAGACAATTTGAACAAGATAATAATCTTGACGGCCCCCGCTGTCCCTTCCTGCCACAATTGGAGGTCACGCAGTAACTGTGCCTCTGATTCCGTCCACCCGGACTCAAGGACTACCGTTGCAAATGCCCTCCTTATCCCATTAATACAGGGGCTGTAGGCGAGGTCTGGTGTTTTTGAGGAGCCCGCAAACGGTCCAAGAAAGTGATCATGAGCTACACAATTATCAGTAGAGGCTAGGGAGCTTCGTAGGACAAATGGACATACTAATGAGGCCATCCGTTATTGCTTCAACTGCTGCCGGGGTGAGGAGATGGTCATACGCCCACAAGGTCCATTCCGCCCTCATCCAACCAACTGCAGTCTCATGAAGGGCAGTTGGCATCACTATTCTGAGGTAGCCGTCGGGGGCCACAAAGTGGATTCTCGTAATAATTAGCATCTCCTCCGTTGTGCTGGGCATATACTTACCTCAACCCAAGGGTATCGGTATTATCATTCGGATAAAGAAGATTTCTGAGAACTGTAGAGGATACCGTTGGATCAAGGTGCGTGAATACAAGAAACTCGGAGTTGTGAGTTTCAAGCTCATGCTTGATTTTTCTGAGAATTTGTGTGGCCATGGTAAGGTAGTTGCGTTCTGGCGGTTGAACGAAGGGGTTATGGACGGAGTTTGTATAGTTTGTGTATATTTCTCTCTGGTACACGTAAGCAGTTTGGGACTGCTGCAGCCGTTCTCCAATAGAGCTAACCTCTACCATTGCCGGACATAGTCACGTGGTTGATGGGTCAGTATTCACCCTCCTACACCAGGACACAGGCCACGGACCCTCGTAGGCTGCGACGTGAGTGATCATTCATGATGGCAAATGTTACAAAATTATGGTAATGTACAACAGTCTCATGCTGGTATCACAGCACCCCCGCAATCAGAAAAATTCTAATGCGAAACGGGCAAAGTATATCATCTGTACTTATTGCTGAATAAAAACAACTGACCAGCTAACATACTGCAACGACCGAAAAATCAAGCAAAGTTGTATGATACATTACCATAATTTTGTAACATTTGCCATCATGAATGATCACTCATGTCGCAGCCTACGAGGGTCCGTTGCGTGTATCATAGTACGAGTATGCTGGTGTATGTAGGAGGGTGAGTACTCGCCCATCAACCACGTGACTATGTCCGGCAATTGTAGAGGTTAGGCCTATTGGAGAACCGCTGCAGCAGTCCCAACCTGCTTACGTGTACCAAAGAGAAATATTCACAAACTACGCAAACTCCGTCTATGACCCCTTCGTTCAACCGCCAGAGAGAAACTACCTTACCATGGCTACACAAATTCTCAGAACAATCAAGCATGAGCTTGAGACTCACAACCGCCGGTTTCTTGTATTCAGACAACTTGAGCCAACGGTATCCTCCACAGTTCTCAGAAATCTTCTTTATCCGAATGATAATACCGATACCTATGGCTTGAGGTAAGTATATGCCCAGCACAATGGAGGAGATACTAATTCTTACTAGAATCCACTTTGTGGCCCCCGACGGCTACCTCAGAATAGTGATGCCAACCGCCCTTCACGAGACTGCAGTTAGTTGGATGAGGACGGAATTTACCGTGTGGGTGTATGACCATCTCCTCACGCCGGCAGCCTTTACAGCAATAAATGATTCCCTTATTAGTATGTCCATTTGTCCTACAAAGCTCCCTAGCCTCTACTGATAATTGTGTAGCTCATGATCACTTTCTTGGAACGTTTTCGGGCTCCTTAAAAATACCAGACCTCGCCTATATCCCCTGTATTAATGGGATAAGGAGGGCATTTCCAACGGTAGTCCTTGAGTCTGGGTGGATGGAATCACAGGCACAATTACTGCGTGACCTCCAATTGTGGCAGGAAGGGACAGCGGGGGCCGCCAAGATTGTTATCTTGTTCAAATTGTATAGATCCCATGTACACAACCGAATTAAGGCCACCCTGACCTTCTTCCGATATGTGGCTGATCGTGTACCGGCAATGTCTTTATATGTATGCTCCTTCCCTATCGTACCTTCCTGAGGCTTCCTCTATCTTTCTTGTATCCTACTAACCAATCCCCTCATCTTGTAGCCAATATTTCCCCCTCCCAGCCAGCCCAAACCCGACCCATGGATAACAATTGATGAGCTGTTTGGGGGCATAACTCCCGATGGACTGGACCCGGAGGCGCGGCTACCCTTAAGTGTGGAACGACTTCGCATTGCGGTGGGGGCGGAAATACGCCAGCAGGGATATGTCCCTGAAGTCAATTAAGTGTTGTATCGTTTAGGGGAATGGAAGGGTAGTACGGGTTGTTCGTCTTTTTGTTCCGGTTAATGGGATATTGGGCGGCTGGATGGGTGGAGGCGTTATGATTTGTACTTGGCCCGTAGCTTATTTTTTTCATTAATTTCCTTTTGCATCATCATTTTTAATCCCACTCTTGAGCTTTTGGTACTTCGTGATATTGCTGTACAGTAGAGCTGGATTATCCATTGCATGGTTGGGTAGTATCTCGCTTGTTTGTGCGGTAGCGTAGGTAGAGTTGAATTTAGTATTACAAACGGAGGAGAGGGAGAGAAAAAGGATGCTGAGATGTGCGTCGGTTATCAGACACTAGCTTTGAAATTGTCTCGAGCGTTCATTTGGCAACTCAATAATATATTAACACCACGAAACCAAGTGCCAAGTCCTACGCCCATACCCACCGAACCTTCCTCTACTACCCCCCCCCCTCGACCCATCTAACACCCCCCCTCCTCCCCAAGAAAAAGATCCACACCAACCGCATCCAAAGCCCTCCCACACCTCTCGACTAGCAGCCCTCTCCACCCACGGGTGAAGCGGCGCGTTTAGGTGGTGCACGTGTTTGCTGCCCTTCAGTTCCTCTGACCACCCCAGCTCTGCCGCAAGCTTTCTCACCCTCTGATCGCACTCGCCTAGCAAAAGCGCATTGCCCGCCCGGCCACCAATCCCCCCACCCTCTCATTGTTGCTTAAAACCCTGACAGCCACCTCGATGCTGCCGCCCGGGAGTTGGAGCATCTGGTAAAGAAAGTGGGTAGCGCGGGGATGGACAATTATTAGAAAATATTGGACAACAGGGTGGGGGTGTGTTGGAAATTTACCATTTTAGGCTGCTCACCACATACACGTTTTCCTATCCCCGGAGGGTGAGAGGCACCGAGGTCCACCCCGTACCAACCATTATTTTAGAACTGTCCCACCACCGTTGGATTCATGCCGTCTCTCATACTGGCCCTGCATATTTACTGCAACGGTGTTGGATACCAACCAACCTATCATACGATGAAACACAGGTGCAGATGGCAGCCAAATACCGTACCCTCCCTCGGCAATATACCTTACCCGAGGCAAGTGGTAGAACTCCATCCTCGGTCCCGGTACTTATACCTCGGAGGTACTCCGGCAAAGCAAGTAGAAGGACGACCCAGTAGGAGCAAGTACGGGAGAGATTTTCGCATACTCTGGAAGTATGTCTGAAAAAGGGACTCCCTGTTGAGAAGGATATAAGGCAGCTTGTCCCCTCTGTTCGTTTGTTATCTGTTCTATTATTGCATCCACTGTCTCTCCACTTCGTTCTCTATTCCTTGGTTAAAGTCATTCGTTACCATATACGATTCTATTATTCTTTCCAGTTCTCCGATTTCCTTCTTCTATTATTGTTGTTCATACCAATAAAGGTTCCGTATCATCTGGCCATCCGGAAGTTATATCCGCTGCACGAAATCACGTATCGTTTAAAAGCGTGGAGGTGGGGATGTTTAGGTTTATAGTTTTAACTTTGCTTGATTTTTTTCGGCCGTTGCGGTATGTTTGCTTGTCAGTTGTTTTTGTTGGGCAATAAGTACGGATGGTGTACTTTGGCTTTTTCCCATTAGACTTTTTCTGGTTGCGGGATGCTGTGCTGATCGTCGGATAAGTCATCTAATCCGATGACTTATTTGCATCCTGACACCTACTTTTCAGAAGGAAAGAGTAATATTGGCCAGCCTGGGAGAAGGGGGGGCAGGGGGTAGAGGGCATAGGAATGAGGAAAAATTATCAACATAATAATACTATTATTATTATATTGTATGTGGAAAAAAATAACCGAACAACGGCAACGAACCCTCATAGCCTCCGCTGCAATGACAACCTCCTCATATATCCAACTACCCCAACCGAACAAAAATATGTAAAATTGATTTAAATACATAGGAGTAACCAGTACTTAGTATACCATCCATCAGCCTTAATAATTGCTTCTATCCTATCCACCATAGATCCTGCCAAAGTATCAAAAACCTTTAAATCAACAAGCTCCCAACAATGAGTAATTGCCTCCTCAATTGCCTCTTTGACCTCATTCACAGGACCCTTCATGAGATACAGCTCAGGATAGTGCTTATGAAGTTTATCCTTCACCAGAGGCCAACCATTTTCAATTGGATTGAGATCTGGTAAATAGGCAGAAATTTCCAAGAGAGTAATTCCATGACCTCTGAGCCATCTCCTAAAGGGCAAGTGAGTCTTAGCATTGGCAATGATAAAAGATACCCCTTCTTCTCCAACCTTTTCTCTAATGTTCTCCCATATCCCTAGAAAGTCATAATGATCATAAATATCAATAATTGACTTTCCAGTAACACCACCTCTAGCAGAAGAAGGATCAGGAAAAACAGGCAAAAAAAGACCATGAGTTTGACCATAAAAACAACCAGTCATCATCTGGCTAATCCCTCTCTCTCCTCTCCTAGCAACAGGTTCAACACAATCCTTATTCCGTTTCTCCTTTGAGTATCTGAATATCCATTTCCTCCTCTTCCCTCCTCCTCTCTCCACAGCTGCCTCATCTCCCCATATTGCCTTCCTTCTCCACATCTCTCTTGTCCAATGCCTATAGGCTAATGCCCATTTCAACCTTTCTTGAGATAAATCTTCATCCGAATGAACTCTCTCTTGTGCCATCCACTTTTTAAGCTTTTTTTCTGCCAATCTGTTCTTTATAGTCTTTCCAGAAACATCTGGTGCAATCTTCTTGGCAATATCTTGATAGGTGGTATTGTGATCTTTGATAGCTTCCTCAACCATAGCCTCATCTTGAGTCTTGGAAGTCTTAGGATATCTTCCTCTACCTTTTTTCTCCTCCCCCTCTTGATCTCCTCTTGCTACTGTGTCATGGACAGTAGTAAGAGGGATGTTGAGTTGGTGGCAAATGTCTCTCAAAGGCATACCTTTTTCATGCAACCCACATACTCTTCCCCTTGTCCATTGACTCAGATGCTGGGAAGGAATTGGTTTGTGTTTATGGCTGCGAAGAATAGGAGCCATTATTTCTTATGATAAAAAAAAGAGCAGGTATTATATAAGATGGTTGTTGAGTAGTAATGACTTTGGTGGGAGTGTTGGGTGTGCGAGGTTGTCCGGGAGCGATGGGTTGCCGTGCCAACCCGGGTGTTCGGTTAATTTTTTCCACGCACCATATCCAACACTTGGTGAGTAAAAGAGGAGAACCCTTCTCACGAGATTTACCAATAGACTTGGGGTGCGGCTAAAAAGTCTCAGACCGAAAAGAGAAAAAATTGCCAAATTCCTCAAGGTCTCGAGGTGCCTACGCTAGTTGTACAGTACCATATGGCATCTGCCACTGGCATCATGAATGATCACTCGCGTCGCAGCCTAAGAGGGTCGGTTGTGAGTTCGTGAAACCCGACTTGGAAGGTAGGCAGATGAATTCTGCATCGACCATTCTGGTCACTCGCGTCTCTTGGATGGAGAAGTCTTTCATCAGTTTTTCCTTCCGACTGTCAGCGACGGATAGGCAGCACTCAAATTCCTCCATTAAGCTGCCGGCTTTCGCGTCTATACTTTATGCCAGTTAAGCATCCTCACCGCTCCCAGCCTACGCCCCAGCCTTCTCGTCGCTCCCGCCTCAGACTAACCCCCAAACTTCCTCCAACTCCTCCCTCCACCCCAGCTCCTTCACCAGTGTTCTCACCACTTCATCGCACCCGCTCGGTAAAAGTACATCGTCCGCCCTCCGACCACTTCCCCTTGCCAAATTATCACAAACTAGAACCACGCCCCCTACTTCACCCGTCAGGGACACCTCAGAAACGGATAAATGCTCAACAAACTCCTCATAACAACTACCAAGTCCACACCCTCGACCATTCTAAGCCCTATGAGAAACTACCTCCACAAGCTCTCCCTCGCTAAAGGATATAATATTTGACTACACCAAGTAGCAGTAGCCTCGCACTGGGGAACACTTCCGGCAAGAATACGCTCCTTCATCTTATCAGCCAGGTATAGGGCATGACAATCGATGCGCGATTGCCACGCAAACCACCCGTGGACTTCGATGGGCCTGGACGGGCATCTATCTCCAGCTGAACTCCTGTGGTGTGTTCAAACATGTCTATGTTCTGGGTGAAGCACTTGTGCTGGTTCCTGGTTACTGTTGGTGATATGAAGGCGTGCGCGACCGTTGGGGCGAATTGGGCAGGGTGCAAGGACTTCACAAGGGTGTAGGGAATTTATGGGTTAGTACGGAAGGAGCTTATGTCGAAGACAGCCTCCGTTTACGGGAGGTTTAGAGTTTGGAGCTTAGGGTGGAGGCCTGTGCCTGGTTTGCGGAAGTCCAGGAGATCAGCGGAGGTGGAGATTACAGCACTACACTAGGAGACATGTTACCTTTTGGTAGCGGAAGCGGCGGTGGGGATTTGGAAAAGGGAGGTACCAGAGGGACTATATTTTATTACGTCCTGCGGGAAGGTCTCAGCGGGAGAGAGTTTCTGGAGTGGTGCCAGCACCGGCCCGGGTGGATAGCTCGACACCCATTTCTTCCCTTTTGAGAGTTCTCTGTCTTTTCTTTGTTTACGTACTGTTATTGAGAAAGTAAGGTTGAAAAAAGGCGGGGAGGTCCAGATGGTCTAGTACTGGTCAGGCACTTTTGGGGTGGATTGGCATCCTATGCTCTTACTAGCGCACACACTCAACTTGAATGGTAGGCCGTGGAGCGGGGATTCCAGGAATCACGCACGACAGGACCGGAATATCGAAGATGGCTTCGCTGAATCGAGCTGTCGCGGTATGACAGCATCCCGCCCTGGAATTATCACAACTGGTGTTGGTGTGACGTGCGTAATTTCGTCACAAAATATGTATAGTTCATGTTCCGGCAGTCATTGACAACCCTCCCAAATGCAGAACTAGCAATTGGCAGTTTGTCATGGCCTATAAACTACAATGTCCAACCATATCGTATGCATTGTAAGCTGGGATTCCACCGCCGGCAGAACGAATAATACACACATTCCCGTTATCAACTTAAAACTATACAACACTCAGTTGACTTCAGGGACATATCCCTGGTGTCGAATTTCCGCCTCCGCTTTAATCTGAAGTCGTTCCATACTTAATGGTAGACGTGTTTCCGGGTTTAGCGGATTGGGAGTTCTGCCCCCGGAGAGCTCATCTATTGTTATCCATGGATGGGGTTTAGGCTGGCCAGGAGGAGGAAAGATTGGCTACAAGATAAGGGAATTGGTTAGTAGGATGCAAGAAAGATAAAGGGAGGTACGGTAGGAAAGGGAGAAGCATACATATAAAGTCATCGCCGGTACGCAACCACCCACATATCGGGAAAAGGTCAAGGTGGCCTCAATTAGGTTGTGCAAACGTGATTTAAACATTTTGAACAAGATATTGATCTTGACGGCCCCTCCTGTCCCTTCCTGCCACAATTGGAGGTCACGCAGTAATTGTGCCTGTGATTCCGTCAACCCAGACTCAAGGACTACCGTTGGAAATGCCCTCCTTATCCCATTAATACACGGGCTGTAGGCAAGGTCTGGTATTTTTGACGAGCCTGAAAATGTTCCAAGAAAGTAATCATGAGCTACAAAATTATCAGTAAAGACTAGGGATCTTCGTCGGGTAAATGGACATACTAATAAGGGAATCCGTTATTGCTTCAAAGGCTGCCGGGGTGAGGAGACGGTCGTATGTCCACCAGCTGAATTCCGTCCTCATCCAACCAACTACACTATCATGTAGGGCTGTTGGCATCACTATGATACCCTGAGGTAGCCGTCGGGGGCCACGAAGTGGATTCTAGTAATAGTAATCATCTCCTCGATTGCGCTTGGCATACACTTACCTCAAGCCAAGGGTATCGGTGTTATCTTTCGGATAAAGAAGTGTTCTGAGGACTTCGGAGGATACCGTTGGATCAAGTTTTCTGAACACAAGATGCTCGCAGTCATGAGTTTCAAGCCTCTGCTTGATGTTTGTGAGAATTTGTGTAGCCATGGTAAGGTAGTTTCTCTCCGGTGGTTGAACGTAGGGGTTAGAGACAGAGCTTCCGTAGTTTATGAATATTTCTCTTTGGTACAGTACACGTAAGCAGGTTGAGACCGCTGCAGACTGCAGTAGTTCTCCAATAGCCCTAACCTCTACCATTGCCGGACATAGTCACATGGTTGATAGGTGAGTATTCACCCTCCTACACTAGCATACACGCAACGGACCCTCGTAGGCTGCGACATGAGTGATCATTCATGATGGCAGATGTTACAAAATTATGGTAATGTATAACAGTCTCATGCTGGTATCACAGCACCCCCACAATCCGAAAAAGTCTATCATCTGTACTTATTGCTGAATAAAAACAACCGACTAGCTAACATACTGCAACGACCGAAAAATCAAACAGGGTTGTACAGTACCATAATTTTTTAACATCTGCCATCATGAATGACCACCCGCGCCGCAGCCTACAAGGGTCCGTTGCGTGTGTGCTGGTGTAGGAGGGTGAATACTCACCTATCAACCACGTGACTATGTCCGGCAATGATAGAGGTTAGGGCTATTGGAGAACTACTGCAGCAGTCCCAACCCGCTTACGTGTACCAGAGAAATATACACAAACTACGCAAACTCCATCCATAACCCCTTCGTTCAACCGCCAGAGAGAAACTACCTTACCATGGCTACACAAATTCTCAGAACAACCAAGCATGAGCTTGAAACTCACAACAGCGAGTTTCTTGTATTCAGACAACTTGAGCCAACGGTATCCTCCACAGTTCTCAGAAATCTTCTTTATCCGAATGATAATACCGATACCCTTGGCTGGAGGTAAGTATATGCCCAGCACAATGGAGGAGATACTAATTATTACTAGAATCCACTTTGTGGCCCCCGACGGCTACCTCAGAGTAGTGATGCCAACCGCCCTTCACGAGACTGCAGCTATTTGGATGAGGACGGAATTCAACTTGTGGGCGTATGACCATCTCCTCACCCCGGCAGCAGTTGAAGCAATAACGGATGGCCTCATTAGTATGTCCATTTGTCCTACAAAGCTCCCTAGCCTCTACTGATAATTGTGTAGCTCATGATCACTTTCTTGGAACGTTTTCGGGCTCCTTAAAAATACCAGACCTCGCCTACAGCCCCTGTATTAATGGGATAAGGAGGGCATTTCCGACGGTAGTCCTTGAGCCTGGGTGGACGGAATCACAGGCAAAATTACTGCGTGACCTCCAATTGGGGCAGCAAGGGACAGCGGGGGCCGTCAAGATCGTTATCTTGTTCAAATTTTATAGATCCCGTGTACACAGCCGAATGAAGGCCACCCTGACCTTCCTCCGATATGCTGCTGGTGGTACACCAGTGATGTCTTTATATGTATGCTCCCCCCTTCCCTGTCGTACCTTCCCCTCTCTTTCTTGCATCCTACTAACCAACCCCAGTGTTCGCAACGGGGCAGTCCGTCCGGTCATTTTCTCAACATGCCCGACAGGTAGGAATGAAGGACCAGGACGGACTGCATTTTGTCGTCCCGTCCGGTCTTTTCCTAAACTTGCCCGACACATAAGAGTAAAGGACCATCCATCAACGGTTCCCTGCCGTCACCCGCAGTCACCCACCGCCCCCTGCTGTCCCTTAAACCCCCAGCCCTTCCCCACCGTCTCCCTGCCCCGCTACGGCCACGGGGCGCCGCCAAACTCCCCCCTCCCCGCCCCGTCCCCCGCACGGGGGCTACCGGGCGACCCAATTGTGCTCCCAGCCATATAATTTGGTGGGGGCAATAGCGGGGCCCCGTACAGGGGATGGCGAGGGCGGGGGGCCGTATCGGGCTGGGGAGAGAATGGAGGAGAAAATACGCCCCGCCCCGGGCCAAACGCCGGGGCGGGGCGGGGAATGGGGCCAGGGACTCGCAGTTTTCGGGGCCCCGGAGTCCGCGTAACGAACTCTATACACAACCGAGTTAAGGCCACCCTGATCTTCTCCCGGTATGTGGCTGGTGGTGCACCAGTGATGTCTATATACGTATGCTCCTCCCTTTCCTGTCGTACCTTCCTCTATCTTTCTTGCATCCTACTAACCAACCCTCTCATCTTGTAGTCGATCTTTCCTTCTCCCACCGAGCCCAATGCCGACCCCTGGATAACGGTTGATGAGCTGTTTGGGGGGATGGCTCCCGGTAGCCTGAACCCGGGAACGCAGTTGCCGTTAAGTCTGGAACGACTTCGGGTTCGGGTGGAGGCAGAAATGCGACAGCAGGGATTTGTCCCTGCTGTCACTGGCAACTAAGTCTTGTATTATACTATTTGAATCATCATTTTTCATCCCACTCTTGAGCTTTTTGACACTTCGTGATATTGCTGTACAGTAGAGCTAGATTATCCATTGCATGGCTGGGTAGTATTTTGTTCGTTTGTGGGGTAGCATAGGTAGAGTTGAATTTGGTATTATAAGCTTGGGGGGGGGGGAAAGCATGCTGAGAGGGGCGTCAGTAAGAGACATAAGCTTTGTAATTGTCTCAAGTGTTCATTTGGCTAATGATAGACTATAAACGTCTCAAGACTGTAGTTGGCTATGATACCAGCCTGCCCCACTCAATAATATATTAACAACCTGAAACCAAGCACCAAGTCCTACGCCCATTCCCACCGACTCGTAACCCCTTCCTCTACTACACCCTCTCCCCTCAACCCCCTAACATCCCCCCACCTCCCTAAGAAAAAGATCCACAACAACCGCATCCAAAGTTGTCCCACACCTCTCGACAACCTCCCTCCCAACACCCTCCTTCCCATTCCCATCCACATCCAAAAGTCCCCTCAGCACCACATCCAATACCCTCCCGACATCATCCACGCGCCGGATAATCTCGTCTACTTGCGGCAACTGCGGGCAAATTAGGAGCACAGCACACACGTCCTCCGCCAGGAAGTGTAGGCTGGCTACGGCCCGGTATAGCACTTTGGCCGATGAAGATTTCTATTTCGGCATGGTTTCTTGTTTTCTTGACTGAGGGTCCAAACAGAGAAAAAGCCGTGGGGTGATGTTTGAGTAGGATGATCTGGTCCTCCAGCGCCAGTGGTATGTCTCTTGGTATATGTTGGTGGAGCAGACTTGGTAAAAAGAAGAGATGTTTTTTTTAGAAGGAAAATTCTTCGCAGGTTGGCCGTTGGAGCAATAACAGATGCCCTCATTCGTATGTCCATTTACCCTACGAAGATCCCTAGCCTCTACTGATAATTGTATAGCTCATGGTTACTCTCTTGGAACATTTTCAGGCTCGTCAGCAATACCAGAACTCGCCTACAGCTCCGGTATTAATGGGATAAGGGGGGAATTTCAAACGGTTGTCCTCGAGTCTGGGTGGACGAATCACCGGCACAATTACTGCGTGACCTCCAATTGTGGCAGGAAGGGACAGCGGGGGCCGTCAAGATTGTTGTCTTGTTAAAATTGTATAGATCCCGTGTACACAACCGAATGAAGGCCACCCTGACCTTCTTCCGATATGTCGCTGATCGTGTACCGCCAATCACTTTATATGTATGCTCCTTCCTTCCCTATCATACCTTCCTCTATCTTTCTTGTATCCTACTTCCCAATCCCCTCATCTTGCAGCCAATCTTTCCTCCTCCTTGCCAGCATAAACCTGATCCATGGATAACAATAGATAAGCATTGTGGGGGAAGAACTCCCGATGGGCTAAATCCGGAAACACAGCTCGAATCGACGTGTATCAATCTAGCAATCTCCTCATTATCTCTGGGTTAGTCATATACGACGACGTCAAGTGGATTTCTTTCCATTCCGGTTACGATTTTGGCTACCATGTTAATATTACGAGTTGTCTCCCCCTCCCTATGGAGGAGAGTGGGTTTCGAAACTTTCTGAGCAAGTACTTCCCGGCGCTTTATGACATCTAATTTCTTATGAAGAGTTGCCCCACTCTCAAAGGTGGGTTGCAAGACATTGTGGAAGAGATGGGCGTTCCGTGGGTCGGACCGCAGTGCCAGGCGGGAAGTGATAGCCTTTTGACTGCGAATACCTTTTTCGAGATGGCGGGAAAGTTCTTCGACGGGAAGGCTGATGACGCCAAGTATCTGTAGGTTATACGATCCATATGCTTGTATGGATTAATATCGTGTATTGACATCTACACGCAGCGCACAAGTGTGGGGCTTTAATGGGTCAGGAATTCCTCCACCAAATATCAACAGAGTCGGAACCGTTCTTTACAATAATGGCGTTCCCGTGCCATCAACTCCCACAACCGACCGAAACGGCCAGAACCCAGCCACCCCCGGGAACACGACCTCCGCCAGCAGCAGCAACAGCAGAATGGCCAACCAGGAACCCCCATCCGGTACAACTTGCAGTACGGAAAGATGGGAGGAATGTCAATTTGCCGCTGGTTGAAGGCATAAACCAGGAAATCGAAATCAAAAACGCTGAAACTACAGGGCAGGTGAAGGCCGTGATTTTTTTTCTTCTTTCCTCTAATTCCTTTTCCTTTTTCTAAAAATTATGGTTTCGGGATTGGTTTGCTTGGTTTGATTGGCTGGTTGCAAGTTTTTCTCGTCTCCCTGTAAATCGGTATTTTGTTTTCCTGCAGGTCTCTCGAAGCCACATACAACGTTGTTTTTTCTCACATGTCGTTATTGGACCCTGCTTATTTATTTATTTTTTTACATTTTTTCCTAATTGGTAGCGATAGTGTGCTGGGTGCGGTGGTGTACTGTAATTGTAAGGGTTCTAAGATATGGGATTTACTCTGGACTGAGTTATCTGTTGTAGCAACTCACTTTTGTTGTTTTTTCTTAATCTATCTATCTCTGGGAGTGGGACATGCCTGATACTTGTACTGGCATAAGCAGTCACAGTCAATCCCCAATGATGTCTATGCTAGCTCATACCTTCAACTGTAACGTCCTTGCTGGCTCACTCTCCAATACAGGAAATACCCGTTACCACATATGGAAGGTTGTTCCAACATTATCTTGTGCCATTGTAACGAGTGAGGGGCTGTGATGAGGTTCGCCCGGCTGGTTCTGGAATGTGGCAGCGTAAGTGGATTTGGAAGTGAGGGTAATTTTTGCGTGCCCTGGTTTCTTATGTTATAGAGGGTTATCGATAGCGTAAACGACCTATGTTTTCGCATTCACTGCCCTTCTCTTCCCACCAATACCACTTTCCATCTCCTCACCTCACACACCCACTTTCTCCCCCAGACTTGTTCAAACAAATAAAAGGAAATGAACCACCCTCACCGCACCCCATCCGCATCCCATTCTATCAATGCTACGAACCCAGCACGTTCCCACCGCCGCACCTTATCCACGTCAGTCCGCACGCATGGCTCCACCATCCGCCCTCTGCGTGTTTCCCTCTCCTACCAACTCCCATCGAACTTGACTCAATCCCGGGCTCATCCCACCGAACCTCAGTCACGGTCCCCAACCGCAACTTTGACCTCTACCAACACCACCACCCGTGTTCCCAACCGGCCTGCCACGACTATGGGGGATTTAGCCTGGCCGGGCCGAGCTATAGGCTGTATAGGGGTTAGAGACAGAGCTTCCGTAGTTTATGAATATTTCTCTCTGGTACAGTACACGTAAGCAGGTTGAGACCGCTGCAGTAGTTCTCCAATAGCCTTAACCCCTACCATTGCCAGACATAGTCACGTGGTTGATGGGTGAGTATCCGCCATTCTATACCAGCATAAGTTACACGCAACAGAAGTAGAATTAACTGAATCCTCTCTACTATTGAGAGAGCTCCCAAGTTTCCTGTCCGTCTGTCGGGCAAGCCTTCCAATGGGTCGGGGCTGCGTTGGGTTAACCCGGGCTCTTCGTTGGGCCGGGCTGGGTACATTGGGTTGGGCTCACCTTGGAGCAAGCCCGGGCTAGGCCGGGTTCGGAGGTGCCAAGCCCGGGTAACCAGGCGAACCTAGTGAATGTTTTGTCTCGTTCCTAATTTTTACGATACTTTAAGTCACGATCACTATGGAAACTGGAATCTGAGCACACGGAATCCAAGAATGGTATTTGCCTTTAGCAGAAAGGTCCAAGGGGGGGCGTGTTCCTATAGTGATCATATGGTGAAAAGCTAGGTGGAAAAGTGATTAGCGCTCTTGGATTGTTACCTGTTCTGAGTATTCGAAAGATGAGAAATATCCAATCTGTATTCTAATACTAATTGCACACTAATGCTAATATATATTTAATTCCTTTTCTTTTGTGCTACGGATCACTGGGTTCATTGGGTTAACCCGGGCTTTCCTTTATTGGGCTGGGTTGGGTCGGCCCTTTTTCGACCCTGGTTAACCCCTTGGAAGGCCTGGCTGCCTCCTCCCCCTCCTCCTCCTCCTCCTCCTAGCCCTCGGCCGTCTCCCTTTCGATAGTTTAAGGTTTAAGGTAGCAGTACTCTTGAACGTATGTGTCATACTATTTTGTGCTATAGTTGGTTCTACACCCGGACTCTTGTGACTTTTCCCTGGCTGAACCTAACCAGGTAAATCTTGACCGGGGCTGAGGACTTCTGGAACTGTCTCCGGCTACCAAAATTTCGTTTCCCCTCTTGTTTTTTTACTCTTTCCATCGCTTCCCCTGCACCTTTCCACTTGTGGGGATAATGTTCGAGATCTTTAAGAACGAGTCGCGTTCTGCCCACAGAAATAGACAATGGATGTTTGTGGGAAGATAGAGGCATTCTTTGGGTCGCCTCATGGCATTACTGGATGGCTTTGCTTGTTTGTCCTTTGTGTGTTTGTGGATGGTTTCTGAACGATCTTCTCGCCCTCTCATGTTTATTTTTTCACCCCCCCTTCCTTTCATCTTGGGCGGTCTAGATTTGTCAGTGAGATTCTGCTTTTCTCGATAGGATATCACAATACCATGCATCTGTGATCACCCACTGAAACCACCCATCCCGCCAAGTACCGCACCATCTACTACCAGTGTGGAAGTCTAATATTGTTATTTAGCATCTATCTCTCCCGTTTTATGTATCCGTTTTCCAGTATCAGCTCCTGACTTATTACCGAGTCCTGCAGCCATATTTGCAGCCTCCCGGGCCGTCCTCGTAATGGCTAAGCGCTCGTCTTCTAAGATGAGTAATCCATAGATAGTGCAGCCAGCTAGAGTGGAACTTTTGCTCTCGGATGATTGCCGGATGCTGGACAGCTAAAACCATTATAACGGCGTCTTGCATGGCTACAAAAAACTTCCACACACTTAATCACATCAACGAATGAACAAACGAATGAACGGGAAAACAGGACCGCAATATCTTACTCTGAGCAGCCATCATCTGTGCCCCCGCACTCACCAGCCATGGCCTGGATGATAAGAGCGTAGAAAGAGGGACCGCATCTGCACAGTGCCGTGCAAGCGTCCATATGATTTGCACCAAGCACCAACGAGCAGTCGATCTGCGATAATGTCCGGGAAACCAGAGCATTTTCCTCCCAAGGAATATTGTCCGCCGCAAAATGACGGTCATGCTTTCGCATATCTATCCACATCAATACCCTGCCCCTCCCGAGGAGTAATTGGATAGCGATTAGGGAAACAGGCCGCGCTCCCCCAATAATCGCATGAAGTACTGTTTCACATGTATCGTTCTGAATATTGGGATCTACACGGTGCTTGAGGAGAACCTCTAAGCTCTGAAGGATCGAGGGAATGCTTGGCGCCTGATCGGTTCCCCCCCGAGCAGCTACAATTGCGGCATTGAGAAGTGGGGTGACTGCATACACATTCTGTGAATCCTGATTGGAACCACTCCCGAGTAAGAGGGAAATAGCCCCGGGAGCTAACTTGATGGCAGCGAGATGAAGTGGTGTATTCCCCTGGTTATTCTTGATATTTGGATTGGAGTCCTGGAGTAATTGGCGAAGGGGATGAAGGGAGACACCACCAAAGACAGCATAGTGGAGGCTTGGCTTGCCATTATTGCCTTGTATGTCTGCACTCATTCCCAGCGAGGGTAATTGCATGGCCATGTCCTCTCTATCTGGCCACCCTGCTTGTGTTGAGTTGTCAACCTCACTTGTGTGCATGGGTCTCAAGCTTGTGGATACTTACCTGGTCCTATGTTGCGTGGCCTCAGTAGACCGGATAGCCGCCAACAGATGTATGGTTTTTTGGTACCAGAGGCCACTGAGGGGAGGTGCGGGCAAGCATTGAAAATATATTATAGGAGCTACAGGGAGGGTGAGATAGATGGGAGAGGCTCGAGGGCCAGCGGGTGGAGGGGGTGACAACCAGAGAATTTGGAAAAAACAATTGATGATGTGGGTGCTCTAGCCTTTAAAGTATTCATGGAGGAACCACACAAAGATTGAAGGGATTCTATGCTCAATTGATGTGAGTTCTTGGGAGAATTTGGTTTTTGTGGGTCTGCAAATAGACTTGAGCAAGAGGTGCGCATGGGTACGTGACTAGGGAGGGAAGAAGGTGGTCTTTCCACAACCTAATTGACCACTTGGGGCAAATTTATAGGTAGATTCTAAAGGTCTAGAGTGCCGGGAGCAACGCGGGAAATGGCCTGGCGTCACAGAACCTCCTTATCCGCTGGAATCGGCCCCTGTTTGGCAAATGCAGACTGCGCTAAAGGAGGTCAACCGAACACTCTGAAAAGGAAACACTGTTTCAGGAAAGCACTATCGTGGCCTCTGTAACTGCTATGACCATTAATCAAGGCGAGAGTATTGGCAAGTCAACAGAGGTGACTTGCTCACCTTCGGAGGTGGGGCTTGCCGAGCCGTTCCTAGACACGCTGCATGAATTTGTTAGTTCCTGACGTTTGGCGGTTGTGGGTACTACTGAATCTAGTGGAACAATATATGCTCACGGAAATGGGAAAATCCAACAAAATTCAACAAGGATGACCAAAGATCATGCAACCCCTCAGGATGTGGGAGAGTTCCAAATTTCTGGGATGTGAAAATAGATTTAGGAGGCCAACAGCATCAGGAGACTGCTAGCACAATCGCTTTGTCCTTTGGTGCTTATAGGGCGTACTGAGAATATCCCGGGTTGGGTAAAGCGTCGCTACCTTGAGAAAGGCTAGACTAGTATTCGGGTATTAGCAAAAGGTGGATAATA